AGACTGTTCAAGTTCCACGTGCCATGTTTGATGGATGTCAGCTATCAGTTATCTCCTGTTAATTTTCCCTCTGAAAGTTCTCCACTGCCTTAACCGGGTATTGAACTCACACTCTTTGGGTCTTGTCACTGGATCTAACCAACGCCTTTATCCACTGTGCCATATGTCCTTGAGGACCGGAGCATGCAACGGCCCGAAACGTTGTGATAAATATGGCGACAAAGATGAGGACAATAGTCCGAATAATGTAAATAATGTACATAATACCTCATCTCAGAAATATAGACAGATACTGAAAGGCCGAAACGTTGTAATAAATATGGCGACAAAGATGAGGACAATAGTCCGAATAATGTAAGTAATGTACATAATACCTCATCTCAGAAATATAGACAGATACTGAAAAGCCTAAATGTTGTAATAAATATGGCGACAAAGATGAGGACAATAGTCCGAATAATGTAAATAGTGTACATAATACCTTATCTCAGAAATATAGACAGATACTGAAAGGCCGATACGTTGTAATAAATATGGCGACAAAGATGAGGACAATAGTCCGAATAATGTAAATAGTGTACATAATACCTTATCTCAGAAATATAGACAGATACTGAAAGGCCGATACGTTGTAATAAATATGGCAACAAAGATGAGGTCAATAGTCCGAATAATGTAAATAGTGTACATAATACCTTATCTCAGAAATATAGACAGATACTGAAAGGCCGATACGTTGTAATAAATATGGCAACAAAGATGAGGAAAATAGTCCGAATAATGTAAATAGTGTACATAATACCTTATCTCAGAAATACAGACAGATACTTCCTGGGCATTATTACTTTTTGCTCTTGTTTAATTTTGATATTTTCCATTTGTAATTCTTATGATTGGCTGTTTCTTTTGCAGACAACTATAGGTTTTGTCTTCTGACATTTCATGTTTAGTTCTTTCTTTTCGTTTTTCTTTACTACATTCTGTACGGGTTGGCGTTGTTCACTTTCCATTCTCGATATTGTCCCAAAACGTCTGCGTTCTTCAATCCCTTTCTCACGGACGAGACGTTCTAAGCCTTTCACTGTTCTATCGCTATCTCCATGGAGAGTTTCAGATGAACTCTTTAGTATCACCAGTCCTAACCTTTACAACATAGACCCGCCCTGCTACGCCCATCGTACCGATCCACCCTCATTTCCTTCGCATTCCACTGGTGTGTCCCTACGAATCACTGCCTTGTGGAACGAACGTCCCCGATCTTTACAATCTTAATCCTTTGAGCTCCGCGTTTCTAAACAATTTTAACCCATCTGCCGGGTATATATATTCATAGATATATTAAAGTAACGTTAAAGGTTTCATTTGTTTAACGGTATATCATCTCCTTATGGGTCATTTAATGCTTAAATTTAATTTTTGTGGGGATTGGGGCTTTGATAATTTTTTTAAAAAAATTATTGCTGGTAATCTTTTCTTCCTTTTCCAATAATGTATTGGTGGAGTCAAAATTCGCAAATAATTGGTATGTCATGTTTCACGGTAGGTATAAAAATAGTTACAAGTCTTTACCCACCGTTCAACCGGTAGATGGGTATTACGTCATCTCTATCACGGTAAAGCGGTGGTCAGTGCTCAAATGGTTTTTCAAGTCTCGGGTTAGCCGTTATCTTCCACACAGTTCCGCATAAGCTGTGCGTATTATTCTATCTAGAATGGCTTTCGGGTATGCACATAGTGAACCCCAATATATAAAAAAAAATCCCTTCTGTGTCTGCTATCAAAACTGTGTCATCTGCATATCTAATGTTGTTAAGATTGTGGCAGCCAGTAATGAATCCTGATAGGGCTTCTAATTCTCTGAGGATTGCTTCACTGAAAAGGTTACAACCAGTAAAAGAAGCAGGCAAGTGACATTATGTTTAAGGCTTCAAGTTTCTAGTGAATGAAAGACGTTAGTTCAGCTTCTGGTCGGGTAGGGCCAAAAGTTATATACTTTCGTTCCGTGAAAGAGACACACGATATGACAGGAATTAAGTGATAAAAATTACGAGACATCCTCTCGCGAGGACAACGAAGTAAAAACAAATTACCCCAGTTGATGTGAGTAAAAGGTTAACTTCCACATTCATCTGCATACTTATCAGCTATGAAAGACACATGAAGAACGCTTCATTTTGATTATTACACCTTGTGAATATAACCTCTAAAAATATCTAGCCTACAAATAATTACCATTAACCCCAGGGAATGCTTTTAAATCGGCTTCTGATACGTCTAAAGTGTGAAGGTTCGATAAATATATATATATATATATATTATAAACAGAGCACTTAATTAAATATTTGTATCTATAAAAAGAATGTATAAACATAAAAATGTCTTAAAATAATTGTCGGACTTTACCATTTCATAATGTGTGACGTCATTTGTTTACATTTGGACACGCTATGAGCAGATATGATTGTACGTGAGAGATTCATGGAAGAAGTTTAAATACAGTAAATTCGACTTTGCTAACCGAACTCTCCTTCGTGGCCAAATCGGTAAAGGCACGTCCAGCTAAATGACGGTTCCGTATATAGAATACAGGTTCGAATCCTGTCGGAGGACGAATATTTTCTGTGAAAATTTCTCGGACATTCAGGCCGGTAAATGTTGTTTAATACTGTTTATTATAAACAGAGCATTTACTTAAATATTTGTATCTATAAAAAGAATGTATAAACATAAAAATGTCATTATATATATATATATATATATATGTCCAGGCGTGTTTTTTATTGTAAACTTGCGTTTACTTTTCTTGGGGATCGTATTTATGGCATAAAAACATGATAATACTCGGCCAGTATGCGGGTATATATGTTCATAAATATATTAAAGAAACGTTCAAGGTTTGCTTTGTTTAACGATATATAATCTCCTTCTGGGTCATTTAATGCTAAAATTTAATTTTGTGGGGAGCTTTGGCAATGTTTTTAAAAATTTATTGCTAGTAATTTTTCACTTCATTTTCCAATAATATATTGGTCGTAATTTGTTTGGTTCGGTTTACGGCATATTAGCCTCAATGGGTTATTTAATGCCGACAAGATTTTTATTGTTGGTAATATTTTTTTTATTTTATTCAAAAACCTATTGCTGGTAATATTTTTTTCAAAAACGTATTGCTGGTAAAAAAATTTTCGAAAAATGTATTGCTATTAAAATTTATTTTATACTTTCATATTGTTTGACCCCTTTTTTTCCTATAGCTGGGACCCTGACAGGTATTTCCACCCAGGGTCAGGGTGGACCTGGGACACCAGCAATTAATAGGAGGTTCCATGCTCCTCAAAACCTTCTGATTGAAGGCCTTGGTGTTCGATGTAGTCTATCGTCTTACACAGAAGGTGGATGTAGTTTATCGTCACACCCAGTACGCGAGGTAATTTGTTTTTACTATGAAAATATATTGCTGGTATTCTTACTACAAAAATGTATTTTTTGCTACTTTCATAATGTTTTAGCCCCGGTTTTGGGGTTCACTATTTGTCCATAGCCGGGACCCTAACAGGTGCTACTACCCCGGGTCAGGGTGGACTTGGAAACAACAGCAATTAAGAAGTGATTCCACGCTTCTCAAAACCTCCAGTCAGAGGCCTTGCTGCCGGATGTAGTTTATCGTCATACCCGAGGAAGCATTCAAGAACCTTGGCACCTAACTATAGGGTATCTATGATCGCACTGATAGGATTAAACATTTACCGGTGTAACAGCAAAATTGTCCAAATAGTGTAACAGCAAAATTGTCCAATTGTTATATTAAGCTTTGAACCTTTGTATGTTAGAAATAATTAAAGATATCTTATTGAAGTTCTCCGAGATTTTTTTTATAACACTATGCCTTGAACAATAAGAATGTACTTAGCTCTAAGTTGAAATGGTGATCCCTCTTCCTGTTGTGACCTTCTGATCCAGTTTTCCTCTCTATTGATCCCTCTTTTTTAAAAGTTATTCAATCGGTGGTTCTTGAATAGACTTTGAAGATGGAACCCAGATTATGTTTTTCATAACGCCATTGAACTCTCCTTTGAGCAATAAGAATGTATCATTACTCTCCAAGTTTAACAGAAGAACCGTGATGAAATCGATCATAAACTAAAATGTCATGTTTATCATTAATTAATGATAGCTAAGGATCGGAAGCTCATGAAGGATTGAAATAAAGTTTATATATAAAGATATTATTCTAGGATCATTTTCCAACATATTCAAGATGATCTTCGCCCTCCTTAAACTTCTAAGTTTCTGTCCTGGAGTAACAAGGTGCCTCACACGTTTCACGTACGATTTCATTTTCAAGTCCATTTTTTTTACTTCTCTTTGGACTGTCATAGCTGAAGCTCCTCTCTCACGTGTCAAACGTCTTATGAATTGAGTTGGATCTTTTCTAACTGATCTCTTTAGCTCTAAGTTGAAATGGTGGCCCCTCTTCCTGTTGTGACCTCCTGATTCAGTTTTCCTCTCTACTGTTCCCTCTTTTTAAAACTTATTCACCGTTCTCTTGATGGTTCTTGAATGGACTTTGAAGATGGAAGCCCGAGTATGAATGCATGAAGCTCTGAATGATCTTTTTCCTCTCGCCATTGCTATGTTTGAAAGACAGTGGGGCTGTCACAAAATGATTTTAACCTCTTCTTTTTCTAGTCGAAAAATTCAAATGTTTTTTCAGTAAGTTTTACGACAAATGGGTGTCAAGATGTCTAAACGACTTTTCTGAAAACATACAAAAAAGAAAATCAATTAGTTTAGCGTTTTTTCTTTTTTCTTTTTTTTTAGATATTAATCATTTTGTGGGATGGACAATTATCCCATTGCAGTTGCACAATTTAGACACTTTTACTCTTACACCCAATATGTTAATCTGTTTGGTAGCCAGATTGTCATATTGTTCTTGCTATCTGTTTAATAAAAAAAAAATTAAATAAAGAACAAGGCTAACTGGAGAAATCTCTAACAACATTGGTATTCTCAAGCAGTCACCCGTCTAGGTACTGACTCGGCTCGACGTTGCTTAACTTCGGTGATCATACGAGAACTAATGATTCATCGTTAAATGGTCGTAAGATCAGTGAGTGTACATAGGAATACCTGTGTGTCGGTGAACCTGTGTATGCGTGTATGACTATACATGTATGTATGTTTGTGTGTGTATGTTTATATATGGAGGGTTGTACATGCATGTGCGTTACTTTATGTGTGTTTGTCAGAGTGTACGACTATGTCTGTGTGTGAAGCATTGACTCTATATTTTAACTGTGTATATGTAAGTCTGCCTTTGTGTGTCGTTGTGATTTCCTTGGGTGTATGCAAATGAGATTATGTGCACGCTTGTCTTACGTATGTTTGTACGTATGAGTAAGTGGAAACACTGGTGCACACAGGTGCATCTTTCGGTTTGCATGTGTGCATATCTATGTTTATGTATACAGGCGTAACCAAGTGTCTGTAGGTTTATTTGTGTCGTTGGTTGGTTGATTTTGTTTAGCGGCATGTCAACACCTCTATGGGTTATTTAATACCGAAATCTAGATATTTTATATGTAATTTATGCTTTTAACTACAGATATTTTGTACATAATTTTATATTTTCAAGGTAAAAGTGTGTTTTTCTTAAATATATAGTTTTTAGATCATAGAATTTATTGTTAGTAATTTTACTATAAAAGTGTATTTTTATATTTTTTAATGTTGGATTGATTATCATTTTGCTATAAAAATGTATTGTTGGTCATTTTATTACAAAAAATGTACTGTTGATTTTTATTTGTGTGTTCACTGTTTGCCCATAGCTGGGACCCTAACAGGTGCTACCACCCCGGACCTGGGAACAACAGCAGTTAAGAGGTGGTTCCACGCTCCTCAAATCCCCAGTCTTCCGATCAGTGGCCTGCTGCCGGATGTAGTTTATCGTCATACCTTGAACGTAAAAAGTCAAGATAACTCCCAAGTTTTTTGTGTGTAATTGCGTGTGTTTATACAGTGACACGCTTAAGTATTGGATACGTGTTATTTTCTGTTATAACTCTAGTTTATGTTCACCATTTTGCCTGCTATTTGGTAAGTAATATCTCGTAAAGTATGTATTGTATGTGGAAGGAAAATTAAAAGCTCATGGTTGAAATCTTTTTTTTTTTTTATCAAAGTTCAAAATTATCCTATGCAAAAGTATTGGATACATTAATTTAATATTTTCTTGCGTAGCCTCTGTTTTGTTTCACTGATTCCAGTCGCTTTCTATAGTTGGCCACAAGTTTTCCACACTGATCCACCATTACTTTACCCCATGCTTCCCTGCGTAATTCCTCTAAATATCAGGCAAAATGGCGAACATAAACTAGAGTTATAACAGAAAATAACATGTATCCAATACTTATGCGTGTGTATATATGTGTATGTGACTGTGCATGTGTTAGTGTGCAAAATGTAGATATTTGTGGGTGGATCGACTGTATTTTGTCAGGGTGGTATTCTGCGTTTGATTGACTGGGTGTGATAGAGTTGAGTAAGAATAAAAAGAAGAAATGTGTGTGCGTCAATGTGGGTGTGTCTTTCTTTGAAAGACACACGCTCCCCGCCATCCTCACCTCTTGTATTGCCACCTCCGCATTTTTCTTTCTGCTTGACTTGAGACCATCAAACCATGTCTCACTGACGTAGGCTATTGTTTGTTTAGTTTGAGGTGAAGAGGAACCGGAGAACAAGACGTCGAAAAACGTTCTGTTAAAAAGTGGCCTCAAAACTAAACTCGTAAAGACTGAGATTTAGAGAAGCAAGGGAAAACTTTTCCGATCAGTAGGCGGCATCAGATATTGTTCATCATGAGGCGGGCCGTACTATCAAAAAGATTCAAAGTAATTTTTCGTAGAATGTCGTTCAGTTATTTTCAGTCGGGAATGTTGAGTTAATTTCCCTATGGCAAAATAGCAGTTTGGAAATTAAGATCTACAGAGATCTAAGTTATTTTCATCGGAATTAGTTATAAGCTTATTATTGGTCAAATATTGAGAGCCTCATATATATATATATATATATATATATATATATATATATATATATATATATATATATATAATTTATATAATATATATATATATATATATATATATAATTTCTATAATATATATATATAAAATAAGTAATTTCTATAATATATATATATATAAGTAATTTCTATAATATATATATATATATATATATATAAGTAATTTCTATAATATATATATATATATAATTTCTATAATATATATATATATATATATATATATATATATATATATATATATGTATATATGTTAGCTCTATCTCTGATATTGAGCGCTTTCTAATAAGTACCCATATATATAATATATAAATAATTATACATACTTATATTTATTTATATTTATATACACTTTCATATATATATATATATATATATATATATATATATATATATATATATATATATATATATATATATAATTTCTATATATATATATATATATAAGTAATTTCTATAATATCTCTATATATATAATTTCTATAATATATATATATATATATATATATATATAAATAAGTAATTTCTATAATATATATATATATATATATAATTTCTATAATATCTATCTATCTATATATATATATATATATATATATATATATATATATATATATATATATATATATATATATATATATATAAAAATATAGTCTTAAGATGTGCTATATTTATGGGATAAAGTGCTCCATATCAGAGATAGAGCGTGTGTAAATATAAAGTGAACATACAAGTCAACACTTAGAGGCGACAGTCTGTTTCATGCTATATATATATATATATATATATATATATATATATATATATATATATATATATATATATATAGAGAGAGAAGAGAGAGAGAGAGAGAAAGAGAAAAGAAAGAGAAAAAAACTCCATCAGGTGTTTAACACAAAAGACCATATCCGTAAGCATATACCTGAGAAATGGATGAATTTTTTTTATGCTTGTTTTTGGACAAAAGAGATTTCTATAATTAAAATGTCTTGGTATAATTATAATTTTAACACTGATGACAGCGTGATTAACACATGTCATTGCGTGCGATTTTTATTCATTTGAAAAAGAAAAAAAACATACATTTCTTCTTTAGATAAAAATAGATATTATGGATGTCTCCTGTCTGAAAGGCAAAATATGTTGACACGTATGATCTTCCATAGTGAAAATCGCCAATGGTTTAAAGTGATGAAAATGTTACTTTCACCGAAAGTTTACAACCTTCAATAAACATTGTTCTTAATCATTGCTTATGTATGTGGTTATGTACGAGAGTCGGTATGTGAAAAAGTGAGACAGACACAAAGCAACATTTAAAGAAACGTTATTTTCCTTATAAAATATGCGTTTCATTCAGAAATAAGAAACCGGTCACAATTTACCCATGACTGACAGAGTATAAAGAATTTTATTATATACTAGCAGTAGAGCCCGGTGTTGCCGGGGGATGTAACAGTAAGAGATAGATCAAGTATCGACCATCATAAAGACTGAAAAATAAAATTGACAAAGATTATTGTTTAAGGTTGACGGACACGCATGTCTTAATTAGTTTTTTTTTTACGAATTGGTCAAACCCAAACTCAAAAAAAAATATTAAAAGTTATGATGCGCTATACGTTATATTTTGGAGAAATTTTACCGTTTCAGAACGGTTTGCTAAAAGCAGCACGGTTAGTTAAATGTTGCTGATATTAACAAACTTTCTTTTTTAATTCAGAATATTGTACTCAGGACCGTTGTGTACATCACCCCACCCCCGACAGGTCTGATTCGGGGGCCCCGGGTGGTGCTTTTCGACCCTCGCTATCTTATCAACATTTGCTTTTTTCTACCTATATTTTATATACTTTATAAATTAAACTAAGCACAAAGAAAGATCAAACATTTTCGCAGATTTTGACTCAATATAAAAGTTACTATTTTTTATCCATAAAGCTTTAAATTATTCAACTTTTTAACAAGAAAAAAAATCTCACATTGATGTTAAAAATTGCCGCAAAACATTGTTAATTTATTTAAGATGGAATGATCTATGATGACATGTCTCTAATTTGTATTTAGATACAGTGTATTTTTTCAATTTTTCTCGTTGAATTGTTCATCTATATCGCATACTAGCAGCATGGCCCGGCGTTGCCCGTGCTTGATTCAAAAATCGTACGACTCATACAGCAATCGCTATCATTTGACTTAAAATATTTTTGCCCTTCCTTGCCTTTAAAGGAGTGCCCTTTGCCGTGCTGATGTTGCTACATGCCTTACTTCTTTCCTATCTCACACTGCGAATTTTTTCTAAGCTCTATACTAAACATTAAATCTGTTACGAAAAAAGAACTAAACAAAATGAACACAAAATGATCAGCTTTAAAAAAAGGACTCGTAACTAGAAAAATCGAATGAAAAAAGAATGTTAACAACAAATACTTTTCACCCCAACCCAGTTCTGCGGAATCAGAATCAACGTTGAGTTTAAGCAAGCGAATGAGCCAATTGGAGTAAAAAGTGCCATGCAGATTTCAATTTTTTTGCACTTGTGACGAATGCAGCTATCGATTTTTTTTGCATGCTAGCATGCTAGTTGATATTCGTGTCAGTCAGCTGTTGGCTCTCACGCTGGTCAATAGAATCTTCCTGCCTATTCGTGGCATCCATCTATTGGCTCTCACTCTGGCCAGTACAAAATGGCCGCAAACTACATGAAAACTGCTGTAGAAGCATGAAAAAATCGATTATTTCCACTATCGATGGGAGTTGGGAAATGCAAAGTCGGTCTTGGCCTTCTCCGCTAACTTGGAGCATGTGCATGTAAATTTTGGTGCAAATCCGTCGAAAATTGCGGCCGTGCATTCGTTACACACACACACACACACACACACACACACACACACACACACACACACACACACACACACACACATCCAGCCTTTTATAGATAGAGATAATACATTATTTTACATAATTATGTTAGAAAATATTTGTATTTTATCTGAATACTCCCTTATGAAAACTGAAATGCAGTGGAGTGATGGGGCCCAAGTATCATACTTTCGCGGGCGTATCATATATTCGGCTCGGGATGGGGGCTAACGAGACCCTTGCATCGGTCCTGATTGTGCTTAAAAACTAGCAGTCCAACATGCTAATATTTAAAAAAAAAAACTGATTTTATTAATATTTCGACCAAATCTGTATCCTCATTTTCAATCATAGAAACCATTTTAAACTAAGTGTGCCTTACCATTAGGCAACAGGAAGGCATCACAGCAAATCAAGAAAAAAATTAATTGCTTAAAAATACTTTGTTTACATTATTTAGGTAACATACGTGATACATACTTTGCTGATTTGGTATCTTTTCAATTCATGGCTTGACAGAAAAATTCCTGTTGTCGGCTACTGTTACTTTCGGTAAGTCACTTTTATAACTTTGTACTAAACTAAATTAAACTTGGGAAATAACTTCTCTAGACACCCAAAACTAAATGAAGTTTACCAACCAAACATTACTGGTTGCTTGTAAATCATTAGAAGTGATTTTGTTACTCACTGGGTGCCTCGTATTTAGTACATTGTGCCCAAACTATAAATAAATGGCTGGCTGGTCGTTTCCGATTATGGCCTACTGCTAATAATAACCAGAAGGACATGAGTTTCTGAGAGGGGCCTTATCACATTGAAACATCTGTTCTTGTAATATCACCGAAGTTAAGCAATGTCGATCCTGGTCAGTACCTAGATGAGTGATTCATTGGGAATAGCAGGAGCTGTAAGATTTGATGTGCAGTTGATATAAAGGGGTTTACAGATATTACGTTGAAACACCTGTTCTCGTAAGATCACAGAAGTTAAGCAATGTTGGGCTTCGTTAGTACTTAGATGGGTGACCCCTTGGGAATAACAGGAATAACAGTTTTGATGTGCCTTTGATAAAAAGGGCTGACTGCTATATCAAGTTGAAACACCTGTTCTCGTATGATCCCCGAAGTTAAGCAACATTGATCCTGGTCAATACATAAGTGGATGATTGCTTGGGAATAGCAGGAGCTGTAAGTTTCGATGTGAATTTGATATAAAGGGTTTACAGCCATATCACGTTAAAAACCTGTTCTCGTACGATCACCGAAGTTAAGCAACGTTGATCCTGGTCAGTGCCTAGCTGGGTAACAGCTTGGGAATACCAGATGCTGTAAACTTAGATGTACGGTCGGCGTAAGGGATAATGTCTCAGAATTTTTAATTGGAGAGCCGAGTTCCAATTCGCGTTGGGTTCGTTATATTCACTTACACGCAAATACCCTTGTGCTCCCATCTATGGATTAATTAGTAAGACTTGTACCGCTAAACCATTATTATCTTTAAACAAACTTACAATCTAATTACGTACAAAATATCTATATTTCAGCATTAAAATTACGCATAGTGGTTGATATGCCACTCATATAAATCGAACCATACTGGGAAGCATATAAAAGCTAATAGACCAAACGCAGTAATTAAAGACGACAAACAATATGTTATCCATATGGCAGTGTTATTAGATAAATATATCTGTTAAATGACAAAACCATTAAATATCAATTTACACTATTTACATTGTTTGGACGATTATCCTCATCTTTCAATATCTGTCTATATTTCTGAGATGAGGTATTATGTACATTATTTACATTATTCGGACTATTGTCCTCATCTTTGTCGCCATATTTATGACAACATTTCGGCCGTTGTACGCTCCGGCCTTCTTCAGTTGGTTGGAATGTCGAACTGAACCTTTTATTTCGCTCTCTGGGGTAGACTGTTCTAGTTCCACGTGCCATGCTTAATGGATGTCAGTTATCAGTTATCTCCTGTTAATTTTGCCCTCTGATCATAGACAAGGAACACCATTGGAAAATTCGTAAACTTAAGGAATCAGCACATATGCTTGGCCACAAAAATCTCCTGAGCCGACCAAGCATAGAAATAAATACAATATGGGAACCAGTAATAAGGAGTGCCAGAGAAAAGCAATGATAACAACAAAGTTGCAATATGAGCTCTGGTAAAAACATGAATGATAACAACAAAAAATTGCAATATGGGCGCTGGTAAAATGGTTGCTGAAGATACCCAGAAATTCATACCCAGATGTCCTCAAGGACACATGGCACAGTGGATAAAGGCGTTGGTTAGATCCAGTGACATAACCCAAAGAGTGTGAGTTCAATACCCGGCTAAGGGCAAAATTAACAAGAGATAACTGATAAGTGATATCCATGGAACAGTCTACTCCAGTGAGCGAAATAAAAGGTTCGGTTCGACATTCCAACCACCTGAAGAAGGCCGGAGCGTGCAACGGCTGAAACGTTGTGATAAATATGGCGACAAAGATGAGGACAATAATCCGAATAATGTAAATAATGTTCCCATCGTTATTGTCATATTCACGACGTTTCGGTCGTTGTACGTTTCGGTCTTCTTCAGGTGATAAACGTTAGAATTTCGAACCGAACACTTTATTTAGTTCACTGGTGTAGGTTTTTCTAGTTCCACGTGTCATGCATTTTATGGACATCCCAGTTTTAGTCATTTTCCTTTAGAAAATCAAGACATCTGTATGAAGGCAACATTCACCAGACAATACCTCAACTTCAAACTCCCACCGTCCATACAGTGTAAAGAATGGGATTGTCCGCTGCCTGCAACATCGAGCAAAAGTGCCAACCCAGAGACTTATGAACAAGAAATGGTCAGTATAAGCAGGACTTTACAACGTAACAACTACCCTGGATACATGACAGCAGCTCCAACAAACTGGGATAGAAAGGTACAAGTGGATAACAACACTCAGAAAACAGCCTCGGCCTGCCTATCCTATGTGAAGGGATTATCGGACAAAATACAAAAGATCTGTGCTCCATATAACATTAGGACGATCTTCAAAAGTGTTTCAACAAATCGCAGACATCTCTTCCGAGTAAGATCTCCCATAGAGGAGAACATTATTAAGGACTGTGTGTACGGAATCCCATGCAGCTGTGGCAATAAATATAATCGAGAAACACGATGGCCCCTTAAGATAAGACGGTAGGAACACCGTAAAGACGTAACACAAATAGAAAAATCAGGCATGGCTGACTGCGTATGTAGCGAAAAGAGAGATCACCTCCCTCTGTTGGATAATAGACAGAGAATATCATTGGAAAATACGAAAACTTAAGGAATATAGGCACAAAAACCCCTAAGCCGGCATGAATACAATACAGGAACCAGTAATACAGAGTTTTAGAAAAAAAACAACAATAATCGACATGTTGTGTATATGACAATAAAGGCGAGGTCAACAGTCCGAACAATGTAAATAGTGCAAAGAGTTACAATAACTCATCATATAGACAAATAAATATCAGTTCCTATTTTTAGGCGTATATATCCAAGCTATTTTTGTAGTAAATTACATCCAGTACAAGACAAAAACGTCACTCAATATAGAGGGTTATCGAACGTAAGAGGAGGAAGTTGAAAATAAAGATTATAAGGATATGGGGGATAGATAACGATTGACCCACAGCTTGAAGAATTTAAGATTGTTGTATTCGTGGAAGCATCCACACGGGAGTGTCTGTTTCACAAAATAGCAACTCTTGGGTATGGATCTTTCTGAATTGGCCTTCTTCCTTACAAATGGAATACATAGGTGAATGAAGGCGCTACAACCCTGTGGACTTAGCAAGGTTATTCTTAACTATAAAATGTCTGAGATAGTTGTGAAGAATTTTAATAACGAACCGTTATTTTGCCTATCTGCTACATTGACTATTCGGTCACGGATGTCATGGTCGGAACGTTACCGTTCTATATAATCGGCCACAGTCCATTGCCAAAATTATGCTAGCGGAGGTCGCTATGGTTGATATATATTTGTTATCGGTCAGTTTTTTTAAACCCGGACCAAAATCGATTATTCAGAATGCTGTTATTTTTTTTAAGGCGGGATCTTTTCCCCTTTTTTTTTAATTTTTTTTAAGGCGGGATCTTTTCCCCTTTTTGTTAGATTAGCACGACACAAGCTGGCAACTAAGTCTGTGATTTTGTCTTGTGTCAGAAGAAAGCCAACTTAGTAGTCGCATTCTCATAGACAAACTAAACAAAGATCGTTAAATGACAATTTTCATCAAATGGTGGCATTTTATTGCAAGAATGGCCGTTGTGTGAACACGCGTAAACAACCAGTTGCCACTGACCGTCCATTGTCCGAAACATTTCGACAGCATCGACTGTTTCACACGTCAGTCCCTCCGCGCCGGGCTGTGTGCACGCTTGACTTAGAAATCGCCATTCCTTCGAAAGAGTAGTTCTTACTGGGATAATACGAGCATGCCTCTGTTTCCCTCCCTGGTCACCCCCCTACGCCCAAGCCTTACGTCATTTCCGGGTCAGTGACACTGTAAATTGATGGAGGTCACGTGATCCGACGTACATTTCTTCTCCGACTCTGCACACGCAAACAGTGACGGGCGGGGTCACGTGAGAAGGCACGCGCCAGACAGGCTGGTCGGCGGATCACATCCAAAGCTTCGTTTCGCGCGAAACTGAATTGGGGACGGAACCGAATTGGGGACGGGGGCAAATCATGGCTGGCAGATTGTGTTGGAGTCAAATTCGAAATGATTTAAAAAAAAAAAATGCCACTAAGACGCAAGTGAGTGAAAGAGAACGAGAAGACTTTAGTGAAGAGAAAAAATAATAAAGGAACAGATTTCAAGCAAGAAATAGCGATTAACGTTGCATTTAAATTTATGAAGATTGTAGTTGGCAGGGAAGCAAGAAATCGGAAGGGAGTTCCACAGTCGAGAAGTGTGAGATTTCAAGATCAGATGTTTACTTATTTGGTCATATTGTTTAACAGATATATCTTTATCTGATGTTGCGTACGTATCTGTCTTCTTCTTTATCAGCAGTGTTCCCCCAGGGCGTAGACGATCATGGCTCTCCACCACATCCTGTCCCTTTTAGCGCTAAATAAATTTTAACTTTTAGTTTTTTCTCCTAAATCCTGTTTCGACATTCAATTACCCTACTCACTAAGTAGGTTATTGTTTTCCTCTGTCCGCCTTGCCTTCAATCTGTCCTGTGAGTATCATATTTTCCAAGCCCTCTTTCCTCATTACTTGCCCTAGAAACCCCAACTCACTCTTCCTGATGTTAAGTATGAGTTTCCTTTTTGTATCCATTTTCTCTAAAACTTCGCCGTGGCTCACGTGGTCGGTCCACAGTATCTGTAGAAACAGATTTCTATTGCTTCGAGTCTCTTCATCATCTTTGAGATCATCCTTGTTATATATAAACGAAGAATAATACCGTGGAAACTGAAGATGCCTAACGCAGCACCTAAATTGCAATACAACAAACTCCTGAACGACCCGAACCTGAAGGAAAAATATATGGTCAGTGTGAAAAAAAAAATATACGAGGGACGAAATGGAAATGGAAACTCGACACACAAAGAGAAGCTTTAGTGACATCAGCAGACAACATCATCGCAAAGGAAAATGGACGAAGAAAAAAAAAAAAACGAATGGATCACAAATGAGATTCTCAACATGATACAAAAGAGACAGTAAACAATGCAAAGGGTCGGGACGGAATACAGAAAAATTCACATAAAAATAAGGAACAAATACAGACGAGCTAAAGAAGAATGGCTCAACGAAAAATGCCCAGAAATAGAGAGAAAGGGTATTACAGATAAAGGTGATAAGCACAAAAAACACAAGAGAAATAACAGGACGAAAAACATGCTCATCAACAGGCTGTATAAATCCAAGCACGGAACGCTCATATTAGTGAAAGAAAAAATACTTCAGCGCTGGAACGAATATATCGGATTTTTCTTCCACCACGAAAGAGAACAACAGGCAATACACCTATATACTGACGGGCCGGAAATACTAGACCGAAGTAGAAGATGCATTGGCTAAATTGAACAGAAACAAAGTGACAGGGCCAGACGGAATTGTAATAGAGATGCTGGTAGCCTTACACGACTTCGGCATAGACAATACTAGCAGTAGAGCCCGGCGTTGCCCGGGGATGTAACAGTAAGAGATAAATCAAGTAACGACCATCATAAAGACTGAAAAATAAAATTGACAAAGATTATTGTTTAAGGTTGACGGACACGCATGTCTTAACTAGTTTTTTTTTTTTT